TCAGCCTGCATGCAGATTGGGAACACATCTTATGCATGTTTAGACAGAAAAAAGTCCTGCATGTCAAAGCCAGCATGCCAGCTAGAGCAACACTAGGAGTTATAGGACTTTTTACATCTAAACATACATAGGATTGCGTCCTTAGAAATATTCAAGCACTTTATTGTGGTGAACCACTGAGAGAGCCACTGAAAGGTATAAAAATGTAAGCAAACAAATTGTTCTTACTTCTGCAGATGGGATTCCAATTGTTTTGAATTATGATCCTTGTGCTAAGTTATTATATTAATTATATTATGTTGATGTTGTCATCAACTCTGAGTTCCTGTTCAAGTAGTCAAGTGGAATATAAATGCCAGGATGGATAGATAGATAGATAGATAGATAGGAGTTCATCAGTCAGCTGCAATGTAAAGGCCATGACACTTAGTATACTTTCATATAATGCTTCAATGAAATTCAATCCTTCACATCAGAAGAACTGAATTTCCATTAAAATTGTTGCCACAGTGGCACAAATGCCTAAACTCTTTGCAAGTTGCAATTTTCACTAAGGTACAGTCGAGATGTTTGTTTTAAATCTACTGGAATTACATAAATAATAATGGATTTGTTTAAAAAAAACATACTTCTAGGTCTCCTCCTTAAATCCTTTCTTCAACTATTTCTCTAAGCCTGTTTCCAGGAGTCAGAGTAGCCAGCTGCTGGATGAGGAAAGCAGAAATCGGGGGCAGAGGAGAGTTTGGAAACAGCAGCTATGCCTATGGCAAGTGTAAGAAGGTCAATTATTCCCTATTTCCAAGGCAGCTCTTCAAAATGGGTCAGGGTAGGGTCATTTTGGTAGGAACTTGCATGTAGAGGACATGTAAGGATGGGAGTTAGAATCTTCTTTTTTCTGCACCAACTGGCCTGGATGTGCTGGACACTGGCTAGAGTATCAGGCCGGGACTAATTTAATGCAATTATATTTTTGAGACCTAAAAAGCCACAAAATCAGCCTGAAGAAACACAGCAAGTCAGTTATTTGATTAGAAAATTCTGCAAGTGTCTCATAAAAAGTGAATGAACAGAGTGACAGTTCAATATCTACAACAAGGAACAGCTCTAGCCTCTGCTTTCCATCCACCCTGGCATATTGCTGAAATCTGACTTGGAAACATAAGCCAAGACTTTGAGGCCAAGATTTTTCCTGCGGTAGGACTCAGAAAGCCTGTGGAGTTCTTAGCTGAAGCAGGGAGGGCATGTAGTGGCAGGAAGCTTGGCCAGGCCAGGGCAGATGGCAGGAGTGGTGTTCTCAGTTCAGTTAGTGACACTTGGCCTATGGAAAGAGTGGCAGCAGTGAGCAGCCTCCCCAACTCTGCCTTTTTGATGTGTCCATGTGTTTGAGAATTGGGGGGGGGGGGAGATTCTGCATATTTTATTACCTTTTATGTATGCATGTCTTTAATAGGCACATTTTCTCTGTGTGTGCATGATTATGATGGCAAATGGTTGTCAGGGCATGCAAGGACGACTCTGACAGGGCAATACAGATGCAATTCTGGTCTGCATAACAGTGCATATTTCTGACATACTATCAGGAATATGAACACAGGACAGAAGCCTTATAACTTGTAGGCATATGCAAACTGAAATAATTAAGTAATCAATTAAAACTCAAACGATTAATCTACAAAGATATCTTTAATTCAATGACAGCCCTGGTTTAGGATTGGAGTCCTCAGCAAACTGCTACTCAACCAAGGAGATTATTTGTATTTTATCAACTATGGCAATTGTATTTTCTTAATTCTACCATATGAGTGAAATAAAACAGAAATGCAGGAAACATCAGAAATTGTTGGGCTCCTTTGATACCTTTGCCTACATATAGATTACTGCAATGCATTCCACATAGGGATGCCTTGGAAGACAGTCCAGAGACTTCAACTGCTCCAAAATAGGGCTGCACATCTGTTGTCGGGTGTCATTTTGCATGCCCACATAGCACCTATTCTGTATAAATTACATTGGTTGCCAATTGAAGCCTGGTCCAAATTTAGTTTGTTTTAACACTTCAGTTTGTTTGAACATACAAAGCCCTAAATGGCTTGGAACTTGGTTACTTGAAGGACCGCCTTTTCCAATATACTCTTACCAGCCCAATGAGATCTGGTAGCCCATCTCTGAAGAAGAAAAGGGGATGGACTATAGAAGAAGGGCCTTCTTGGTGGCTGCCCCCAACATCTGGAACAGGCTTCCTAAAGGGGTCACCTGGAGCCATCTCTACTTTCACTCTCTTTCACAGATTTTATGAAATCTGAATTTAAAACCTGATTATAAGTGTTCACTCAGCTCCAACAGATCCCCCCTTCCCCCTGTACTTGTATATTGTGAACTGTACATTGATATTGTTAGCTGCTTAGCGAGTCCTGCCGGGCCACTGAGTGGCGTATTTCTGGACAAAACATGTTGCATTCCTCAGTAAGAAACACTGAGACAATCACTAGGGGTAAATGATTTAGAACACAAAGGGAAACAATGTATTATGATTATACAGACTTAATCTGGCATTCAGAAACAGGCTTCCACAGTACCAAAATCTAATTCCAAGAGCTTAAATATTCACTTATATCTTTAATTTCTCTTTCCCACCTTTAGTCAATATTTTTTTTACTCATGTAAGAAAATACTAAGACTGTTTATGAGAACAAGAAGATGGAGTGGTTAAATATAAAAGGGCTGGTCACAGGAATCCTTTGACCACCACAAAACAGTTCAAATTGCAGCCTTTCAGTTACCAACTTTTATCTAAAAGGGGTTTGCAGTAAGTCTGTCCTGGCAACTGTTACATGCATCCCCTCAAAAGAAGCCCTGAAAGTCCATGGCAATCAAGCTAAATAATGAGGTTTGCTTAGTGCAAGCATTTCCAGCACTGTATTTTTACAAAGAAGACATAAATTCTTCATACTAATAACTGTGTTTAAGTAAATGGTTTTTTAATGTTTCAAGAGATTGTTCACTCCTTGTTACAAACACTAGACAAACAACGTCAACAATTAGTCTTCCTTTCTTAGCAATAATTCAAAGTTATAGCTAGTAAGTTGCTTTTTAGAATCATGGAAGAGAAGAGTTTGAAGGGGCAAAAAGGCCCCTGCTCAATGCATGACTCCAAGTTAAAGCAACTTTAACAGAAATCTGTCCAGATGCATCTCTAATGGCTCCGGTGTGGGAAAGCCTATAACCACCTTAAGTAATTGCTTGCATTTTGTATTGCTCTAACAGTCAGGGAGCTTTTCCTGATGTTCAGTCAGAATCTGGCCTCTTGTAAAATGAGACCATTATTCTGTGTAGTGCACTGTGGGATCATCAAGAAGAGAACTTGGCTCTCCTCTGTGTGACCACCTTTCTAGTACTTGAAGAATGCTATCATATCTCTCCGCAGTCTTCTCTTCTCAGATAATCCCATTTCTTTCAGTCTCACTTCATAGGTCTTTGTTTCTAGTCCCCTGATTATCTTTACTGCCCTGCTCTGTTTTCTAGTTGATCTTATTTTTTAAAAAAACTGTGGTGCCCAGAACTCGACAGAGCATTCCAGATGAGATCTAACCAGTGCTGAGCAGAGAAGAACTTGTGCTTCTCATGATCTGGAAGTGATACTTCAGCTAATGCACTCAAAATAGCAGTTGCCTTTGGTAGCCATTTCACATTGTCAACTCATATGCAGTTTGTAATTCCCAACAATTCTGAGATCCCTCTAACTTGTCATCTTGTTGAGTCAAAGATTCCCATCCTGTATTTAGTTTCTTTTTTCTAGGTGCAAAACTTGGCATTTGTCCCATTCAAGCTAAATAACATTATATAATTAAACATTAAGTAAAAGCATGTTCATTTTGCAGACTCTTTGCAGTTTCTGATAGGTTACTAATTTTCATATCACATGAAATAAATTAGCATAACATAGGACACTATAACACAGCCTATTTTTTCTGAATATGAAAGTTATGTTCCACCAGCAAGAATATTACCCTCAGTCCATGAATCTGCATAGAATAAATTCTTGGATATGGTAGCACCTGAAGCAATTTTCCAGTTTATATGCCAAATATGTGCTCTCATAAATAATTAATTAGCAGAATAATTCTACACATATCTTCTCAAAGTAAGTTGCCTTAAGCTCAATGGCAACTGAGTACAGAATTGAAGCCTATGGATTTAAAGCAGTAGCAAGTAGTACAACCCCCACAACAGATATTGTTGGACAACCTTTATCATCACAGACCATTTGGCATGCTGCCTGGGAGTGATGGGAGTTGGAGTCCAGCAACAACTAAAGGGCCACAGTTTCTTCAACCTTACTTTGAAAGTACAACTCTGGAAATAAAAGGTATATTGAAGGCTTTATTATATTTTTTGACATGCAGCATAAAATGAAGTGTAGTATTTATTGGAATTATTTCTGAATGTTAATTCTAGATATGTACTTAATCAATCAGTTTGCCTCTTTACTGATTACTAAGCTTGTCTCTGATTATTAGTCCATTCCGCTATATAACTGATTGGTTATGTATCATTTTCTGAAGCAGGCAACTACATTATATGTCTGCTAGTTTCTATTCCTTGCATATCAGTGGATATTTATATTAGCACAATTGTAGTTCCAAAGATCTGCTGTAAGTCTCCTATCTGCAGTTATAAAGATACTGGCATGGAAGAAAGTACATTGACTTGGATTTCCCCTATCCCTTTGAGCATAAAAAACACTGTTCAAATACATAAAGTGCATCATGGAAATCCACTTTTGGGACAAGAGAGAAGCTGAAAAGCCAGGGAATAGCCTCATGCTAGGGACTAACTTACGGCATTCATTGGGAATTACTTCCATGCATACAAGTAAAGAATTGGGGTCTTAATAATTAAAAATAATACTACCCTCATAAACTACTACTATTAGTGTCTTGTTGGCCAGTTAAGTTAGACAGTTACATATGTTGGTGCTTTTCAAAACAAAATTCCCTTGCCTTAGAATGATAATCTTGCTCCAGTCTGGAGTCTGATCCTGCTACCTGTTTGTACTTGTTCATTTTCATTTGGCGATTTCTCTCTTCGACATCCATAGTACCTGCCAAATTCGAAATAAAACACAGTAAATTTCCAATTGTATTTAAAACATTAAATCAGTATTATAAGCCATTTAGCTATACTAGAGAATATTGGGGAATTGTTGTTAATTGCCCAAACAGCTTTGGCTATTGGATGGTATATAAATGAAATAAATACATAAATTTTATATATATCTATATAGATATATATTTCAACATATAAATTAAACCCATTATTTCATTTGTGATGAATCTAAAGCATCCACAAAGGCAAAAAACAATCACACAGAAAAACAAAAAAACCCCACACACCACTATAAATTGCAGTGTTTTAACTTTATCCATGCAATTGATAAACATGCTTTAACACAAGGGTTTGATAAGGTATGTTGTTGCTGCCCAAATATACAAATGAAAATGACTGGTTTCATTTTAGAAAAACTGGAATATAGCGATCTTCCAAATGATAATCCATGTCTATTTAAACACTATTTTAATGTACCAATAATAAAGGCCAGATTAACATGGTCAACACAAAATGATGTTCCCTTAGAATTTACATGTACTGAAGCCATCTTTTAAATTTGCTTCCCATATGATCTTGAGTTGATTTCTCTGTAAAAACTGATTATTTGTGTTGGGCCTCTGGAACAGTTTAATGGGCAGCAATAGTTAACATTTAGCGTTCCGTAATATATTGTGAGTGCTGTATAAATTATTCAGATACACTGCCAAATATGGTGGCCTCCAGTGGTATAGAAAACTATCTTAGAAGAAAATCTTGTTTCCAGGTAAGAAAACACTGTTTTTTTTCCTGTCAAGAGTTAAAACAATTTTCTCCTTAGCTAAATAATCAAATCACATGGCAGCAAATCACATGACAAAAGCAAGTAATATGAAAGCATGTAAAAGTTCATAAAAATCTTCTATTAATGGCTGTTTTGTTTATGTGGGAAGATAGGCTCAATAATAATTTCATCAACTCAAGTGTCAATGATAATTACAAATATTGTGTAATAATGTGTTTGTATATAACAGCAAATGAAGCTAAACAGACTGATAGTAGTATTTATAAGCAGAAACAGACTGAAATAGAGCATCACAGCAGTCAACTTTAGAAAATGCATAAACAATCTCAGATTAGCAGGCTATGAGAACAAGAAAATTAGAGTATGTTTACAATGAGGTGAAAAAATGTCTTTTAAAATAAACTGTTATAGCTACTCTTGCTAAAAGGGTCTTTTGAAAATATATCTGGAATATTTTAGCCAAACTTAAGTACATTTTTTCTCTACACTGCAATCATTATTTGGTAACTATGTAGCTAAGAGGTCTGTTCTTATTTATACCTATAAGTCAAAATTAAAGGATAGTAGAATACAGCTTAAAGATTCTGGCTTCAACAACTATGCTAGAGATCAATTTATATTACTGCAATGATAGTTGTTTTTGTGACTGAAACAAACACTGGGAAACCTTCAGTGTAAGTGATTATTTACAACTGTCCATTCAAATGTAAGAAGTAATAATAATAAAAACCTAAGAGTGGAATTCTACTAATGGATAGTATTCAATACTGCTGATGCGCCTCTGCTGTATGTTTTGAGTAAGTGCAACTTGAGTGCAACCCAAGAAATGAGCAAAACTGCTGCTTGCTTGAATGGGACAGTTCAGCAGAGCTTCTTTCTGACCTTACACTGGCCTGCTCTGTTCTGAAACAAAGAGGTTTGGTTCATCTTTAGTTGCTTTAGGAAGTACTAGCTTCCTTCCCATTGAGGTAACCAGTAGGAACTGCTGGCTTGTGGGCAGAATTGGATACTGCCCAGTTTTAGCAGCTCTTAGTACCCCCTTCAGAAAACTTACTTTGATGAACAGTGAATGGAACTTTTAATACAAATTATCAAATGTGGAGGTGAATTAACTATATCCATAACATAATTAATAAAATACAAAAGCAAACTATATAAACAGTAAAATTACATACGTCATTTATTTAGTGGCAAACTGGCTTTACTGGGTGTCACATTTTTGCTCCTAGATGGTAATGTTAACACAGCTAAACCACTCTAAAGGCATAATGCCATCTCCCTCTCAATCTCTCTTACATGAGCTTGTGTGTTCGCGAGCATACACACATACACATATTAAGACTCCCTTCTGTTTGTTTCTCATCCCCAAAGGAGATGATACTATGTGGACAACTCTTCCAGGAATTTAAATCAAGGACTTTATCCTTAACCCTTTCCCACGGTAGCCTTTTCAAATGTTCACAAAGTTCATCTTGCAAGAAAGACAAATGGTTCTTTTGTGACTCTTGGAATACCAACCAAGTCTTCCATGTTTAAGGTGCAACTTTTTAACAAGAAAAAAATTACTTCTCACATAGGATATATTCTGTTTTTCCAAAACAAATTTACATGTTTGTGACTAACATAGTGCTTTTGTTTTTTAAAAGAAGCAAGCTGGTGATGGAAGAGATGCCCGTCATACTGCTTAGCCCAAAGCAGTTTTCCTGAATACAGCCAATTCCACTATTTTTAGACATATAGCTTTCATTCTAAACAGTGAGATTTGAGTCCCTTATCTGAAAATGCAACTACTCATAAACCAGGACTAAAGCAAAACCCACCAAGTTCAATAGCTGCATTATTTTTTTCATATATATTGCTGTTTATTTCTGTGCTATGACTACTATTTACTATGATCTGACTTGAGAACTAATGCTACCCATGTGTCAGTATATAAAAGAATGAAATCTTTGACTGTACAAGCATTTCAGGGAAACCGTTATGTATCTCCCGTGTCAAATGATAATGAAAATCCCTGAAATGTGACCACTCTGATACTGAGTAACTAGCAGAAAGCTTTGGTGGAAAACTAAATGTTGTCCCATCTTTGAGGTGATAAACAATTATGGTCCTTTCAAATGTAAAACCCATATTTAAATATTTCATATATGGGTGACTGGGGAATGGGAAGGTCTGGAATGAACATTTAGAACCTTCAAATTTGTAAAAGCTAATGATTTCAGTGTAACTGCATATAGTGTAACATTACAGTATGCTTCTTCCTAACATACAGTTTGCAAATTATAATATGCTTCTTCCTATCACTCACCTAATGTCAAAGCAAGACTTTTTCTGCCTCCAATCTGATTAAGTGAATGCAATGTTACAGAGGATCATGGAGTCTAGATCTAGGATAATGTGTGCAGCAGCATCCCTATGACGCCACATGGGATTCTGTGGTACACCAGCATGCCTCATTGACAAGGCTGAAAATACTGCTACAGGCTAAAAATGACCACTGCTCATGCCTTCTTGCTTAGGATAATGATTAGCTGTTAAAGCTAATAACATGCTTGATGGGAAATGTCATTTCCACACCATTTCTAGAAGCATAATTATTAGTGCAATATGTACAATTAAGTAGATGTACTATTTTAGCTTGAGAACTAGTAAGGTTATTTCCTTTCAAAGCATCATACTTCATACAAATAGTGTTTCATCAGTATTAATATTTAGCTTAATTTGTAAATATAGTATATTTCTGTGGATGCTTTATTTAGTGAAAAGAAAAGAGCATATGTTTCTCATAGTACTAAACAGTGAGCATTCTGTTTCCAACCACTTTAAAAAAATTAAACAGTTTCTCTAAATCTTCTGGATCAAAAATTTCTATTCAGAGAGGCCTTGTTCTGTACTGTATCTGAATCCTCAAGAATTATAAAATTCCATAATGTGTGTAATGCTATTACAATTATATTTGTAACAGCAACATCTTTTTAAAAAACCTAGTAAGAGTAAGTTTTGATATGTTTCTAGTAAATGGCATGGGGAAATGAGTTCTATCCTTGCTGAGCTTATCAAGAAAGTTTATCCATAAGAGGGGAGGTTTAATGGCTCCTCAGCTGATCATTAATGGTACATCTGGGGTTGAGGGCCTTTGAACTACGTGGGTCCCAAGATATGGCTTTATTCAGACCAATGCCAACAAAGTGAAATGAGGAGTATCCTAAAGACCATAGCCAGTATCCAATAACAATAATGCTGCCAGTGCTAGTGCAACTGAACTAGCCCTTTCTAAAGCAGAAATGAGTGGAAATACTCATTTCCAGAATGGAACAGGTCTGTGGAATTCTTTTCTTCAAACTTTGCCAAGCTGCTTCTTTTCAAAAACAAGTATTTTCACTAATGTCTTATTAATTTCGGGACTAGTAGCTTCCTGCTGTGCTAGTAATAAGACTCATTAGTACATGGGAAGTGCTGGATACCTCTCAGTGTAAGTCAGTGCAGATGCTAGAACACTATGTGACTTCATGGGACTTTGCCAATTGTAATTCTAATGTTGTGATAGAATATCCTTTTAGTTAAGGAAGAGTAATCCCTATTCTGTCCTTGAAAGAAGGTGTATATACTAGTACTTAGTAGCAATGGGATATTTGCAGACCTATAAGTCATAGAACGATTGAGCCCTTATGGAAAGAACAATGCCCAGAATTAAAACTAAAATGGAATACAATGACAACTGAAGTCCAAAAATAACTAAAAGCTACCCTGAGAATAGGTGTCATAATCTAGATGATTAAGATCATGGAATAACAATAAGAATGTAAGATGCCAACCCAAGAGAGTATGTTTATAAAACATGATTGATCTGTACTTGTTTTATGTTCAGCTGAATTTAACAAAGGGTATGGATTTATATTTACAACAGAAGAAAGATACTTGGTTCTGGTATAAAAATACCAAAATACTTGCTTTTAACAGCATAAAAATGGGAATTAGCAATCAAAAGAGGCAGTCTTGAGAGCTGCATGGCTTGGTACAAGGGAGAGGGGTAATTTTCCAGTACATAGACTGTTCAGAGTATGCGCTACTGCCTACGCACCTGTTTGCTGAAGCAATGGAGGAAAGTGGAATTCACTGTGTTTCATACCCAATAGGCTGGCGATCTTGAGAGGCTTGGACCTTGCAACAAGTAGCTGCTTAGAGAGTCCATAGACTGAGTGCAAGAAAGCCATGACTACAAAGACGGCTATTAGAGGCACAAGTTTAAAAATAGTATTTGCGGCCTGAGACATACATTCAGTGCAAATATTATAAGCTGTAATCTACAAAAGAAATAATGAAACATTCAACAAACTGCCCTACCTTCATCCCCATTCTCTGGCACTGCAATGTGTAAAAAAAGAGGGATGTGAAAAGGAAAGAAGAGAGAAAATGTAAAAAAAAACAAAAAACAAAGATAAAAGCAAATAATAAATTTAAAAAATAAAATATACATGAATAAAATTCAACATAATTTTTTTTCTCTAGGCTGTTGACCAAAGTTAGTGAGCCGTTTTTACAAGTATAACCACATTATTGGAAATGCTTGTGAGACCTGGATGCAGTTTTATTGAAGAAGACCACTGAACAATGGTTCACTTCTAGAATCATTAACATGCTCTACACAAGAAGCAGCACAGCTGATGTTAGAGTTAGCACATACAGGAAGTTCCCTACATATGAACCTTCAAGTTGCGAACTTGCAACAATGCAAACATGCATTTGCATGTCCAGTCACATAAGTTATTTTTTTCTTTTTACCTGTTAATTCTCCTCCCCACTCCCTAAAGGAAATTGAGTCATCTCTCTGAAAGAAATGGCTGCCTCTCCCCACTCAGAAAAATGCATCACATTTCTTGTGAAGATCTGAGAGTTGAGAGCAGTTTCTCCCCTTCATGAAATGAGAGTTGGAGGCTGCTGTTTCTCTGTGTGAAACAAATGGACCTGGCTTGTTGGCACCAGCATGAGCTTTGCTGTATATGCAGCTTTGTGGCCACCAGAAATTCAGTTTCTAACAAAGAGGAGATGGCAACAGTAAAAGAAAGCACCTTGCACACAGCTCCCAAATAGTCAGGACAAATAAAATGAGAACGTGGATGGGAGAGAGATCACACCCACTTGATCCCAATATTATTCCAATCATTCACACCTGATTCTTGAAGCCAAAAAGTGCAAGAATCTGGCTACTGGCCTATGGAATCTGTAGGTGTGGTGTGGTGTGGTGTGTGTGGGCTGCAATTATGATTTCAGGAGACCTCAAATATCACTTGTCGTTGAAGTACCAGGGCTGACAGTTCTAAGAAATGCTACACAATGGCCTGAGGCACTGCAGAAGGGCTGCTTCTTTTTGTTTTCAAGTGATGTCCAGAGTGCTCTGCAACCTTCCCTAGGCTAATTTTGTTGGACTTGCAAACAAATTAGACTTACAAATGCACTCTTGGTATAGAACTCATTCATAATTACTTCCTGTACTTTCTTTGTACATGACAGATGAATGAAACAGAAGCATGCATGCTATAGTTTAGCATGATTTTCACTATCTGCTGTCTAATGGTGCTATCAGAAAACTGAAAGATTCAGTACTGTTTGTAAAGCAACTTTAAGGGTGCAATCCTATGGCTCCCTGACATTGTTTGGGAAGTCATAGGACTTTTCAGAACTCCAACTTCAAAGTCCTGTGACCTCTCGGAAGACTGAACCTGAACCTGCTCTGTTCTTCTCACAGCCAGCATGGAAATAACTGTACCAGCTGACTGAGAGTACTTAGGAGAGGACAAATTGAGGTATGTTGGCAGGTTAGGAGGAGAGGAGGCTGGGGGTATTACATTACACATTATTCCTGTCAGCACCACAACCTCCTTCATCCACTTCCCTGGTCCTACATTCATATGGTTGGAACAGTCAAATGATTAGGGGAGAGACTACAAGGGAATATAGCTGTGTGCAGTAAGCCAACCAGTTCACACCATCTAGCAAGTTGCTAGAAAACTGAGGAGAAAATATGGGAAGAGTTGGCTGGTATAAAATTATTAAAGACATAGAGATCCTGCCCAAAATGCAATTTGCCATATAGCATTCTTTAGTACTTTTGCAATTTCTGTGGGATACACACAGTATCAGAAGAAACTAGAATTGTGCACTGCTTCAGGTATACTGGACAATTCTTGAATTATGTTACCTAGTTTATTGAAAAGTAATGGAATTCATGCAGCACTCCCTTGATTAGCAGAATGTCTCTATACTAATGCCACACATTCCTGTGAATGCTGTTGTGGACACTTACCACATGATACTGTTGTAGTGTCAAGCCCCTTACATTTTTGTGTATGTCTGAATGTGTTCATGCACACATGCATACTCTGAGGCAAAGGAATTAAAACATGTTTCCAATGGAAATTCCTTCTGCCTACTACCTAGTACATAGAACCAAGTTATACATTTTAACAATGAGAGAAAGGACAGCTTCTCCATGTATTTAAGTGGAGCTCTGTGTACACTGAAATCTAATCCTGATGATTTGAATGTCAATACTTTAACATCAGATTTAACCATTTTGTAAAACATATGGTACAAACTTTTCTTTCATAATAAGGCAATACCCTATAATTAATCTAATCAGAAAAAATGAAACCAAAAATTCAGGTGCCAGTTCAATGGAAGAGGATGGATAACCCAATTTTATTTTAGATATAGATGATGATGATATAGATATAGATAGCTATGTGCATAAGGGGCTGCTTCCAAACATAAATCTACTTTACAAAAGCGAGATGCTAGATTATTTTGAATCAATGCTTTTTGTAACTACAGCAACTTAGAAACATGTCTGCTCTCAAGAAAACCGATCATGTCAACAAAGTAATTGAAAGCAACAGCACAGTTTTAAAACGAAAGAACAAAAGAAAAGGAAAAGAACCTGGAAGAGAGTCTCTGAGAAAGTTCCGTGTAAGAGAAAAAAAATTATACATTTTCCTCACAAGAGGAGAAAAAATGGGATAGAAATGTAAAGTAATAGTAAAAATAGTATTAATAACAGAAAAACCAATAATATATGCTTGTACTGTAATACTACAGTATGCAGGTAGAGTATTTGAATTCAACTGTTCCCCCATATCAAAAGCTCCAAGCAAACAGAAAATGAAAGTGTCAAGGAAAATGATAGGCATGATTACTTAGGAAGAGGTGAAGGCTGTATCATCTGTTTTTTTCTGAATGTGTAGGCTAGCTTTAGTAGAAAAACAACATCTGACGCATAAATATTCTTCTCAACAGTATATACATTTAAATAGTTGAGAGTTGAGACCAACCGCAACAGCCTGACCAACATACAGGTCAAGCAGCTGCAATTATCTATAGCTTTCTGTTTATATATGCAATGTACATTCAATTAAAAAGAGTATAGAAATGTAACATGCTGTGTTATTTCAGTGGAAGCTGGCCTACATATTCAGAAAAATGCAGCAGTCCTTCCATGGTTACACGTGTTTTAAAAAAGAGCCATCTTGATGTTCCAAAAGTTATACAATGGAAGAAAAGGAAGACCAAAGGAATATGGATTGATGCCATAAATGAAGCCACAGCTTTGAATTTAGAACAGCTAAGTCATGTATAGGACACTTTGGAAGACTTTTGTTCTAAGGTCACCATAAGTTGGAGACAACTTGATGACACACAACAACATTTATGTACATTTTACTTAGCAAACCTGCTAATTTAAGTTCTTAGCAGCCCTTAATGCTTGTCTTTTTAGCAACACTTACCAGTATACATTGGAAGAGTTTAAAATTAATATATATAATGCAAAACAAAGGACAATGAAAGTGTCAACTGTTCAATTCTAATTGGAATGCTGTTCCATAATATAAGTAACTTCAATTACTATTGATGTATTTAGATAAGCATTAAGGTAATACTATGGGAGGAGGTGTTTTTAGGAACACAGAGAGTAATTCTGAAGTATCTCCAGAACATGTGTTTATCATGAGTTCTAAATAACCTTTATATATATAATACAAGACAGTATTCATATAACATAACAACGCAACCCTAAACATATGCTTTCCTTGATTTCCCTTCCTTGGTTGCTTGCCCCACACAGAATTTTGGATTATAAATTCCTAATGGCAGGCACCTATCCTCTTGTAGTCTATAGAGAATGATGGCAGTCTCTCTGCCTGTCTGTCTGTCTATTTTAATTTGTATACATCACCCCATTCCCATAGACTCTGGGAAATTTACAAGGAATTAAAATCAACACTGATAACTATTTGCCTAAAAACATATTAAATAAAACCAATCTAAGAACTAATCTGGGAAGGCCTGTCGAAAATATAAGTCTTGAAGTCAGGCAGATCTCTCTCCCGGCAGTCCATTCCACAGTTTAGGGACAACACCGAGAAAGTCCTCTGGGTAGTTGCTATTAATCTAACAGAAGCAAATTTCAGAAGACTATCCTCAGAGGACCTTAGCTGGTGAGGTGGAATATATAGGCAAAGGCTTGCCTGAAGGTATTTTGGACCCAAGCCATGAAGACCTTTGAAGGTATTTACCAACACCTTGTACTGTATCATGAAACATAATGCCAACCAGTGCATAGACTTTAAAATAGGTGATATGTGGTCTTTCCATGATGTGCCAAAGACCATCCTGGCTGTATCTTTTATACTAGTTGCAGTTTCCATAGCAGGCACAAAGGGATCCCTTTGTGCGGTACATTGCGGAAATCAAGCCTAGAAATTACCAGCACATGCATTACTATTTTCAGGTATCACTGTATCTTGTGATTCAGTGTTCTCAGAAACAGCTAAAAGTGAGGGAGGAGATATTCACAAGGGTACTCCTATGGTTCCACAGCATTTTTATGGACAACTAAGAAGAATACTTTTGCAACTCCTATACTCATAAATATCTTCTCCACATAAGATCAGCTGATGACATCTTTATCACCTAGGTCCACAGAGGAAGAGTTAAAAGCTGTACCAGTAATAAATGATTTTTACCTCACCCTCAAACTGAGCTTAGATCAGACCACACAACAGGTAGGATCAACATAGGTGTCCTGTTCCATTTTCCCAAAGGGGGAGAAATTGCAGGGGCAGTTCCTTTGGATAAGAGTATTGGTGACTTATGGTAGCTCATGATGTGTGTCACCCTCCCTAAGTTCAATTCAAACACACAGAGAGATTTGCAGTTATCCCCTTTTCTCTCACCAGCTGGGGACAATGGATTATTAACCAGCAATCTGCCTATCAAAGGAATGAAAAGGAAGCAGTTTACTCTTCTGAGCTATAAAAGAGATTGTAGGCAAGAGACAACAATTGACCAAATTTGAGTGCCCATGGGAA